CATCGTCACCTCGTTGTTCTAGCGTGTCACGGAGCGAGCGATTAAGGCGATAGTGCTGTCGCAGAGGGAGGCCAAAGCGCTCGGAAGCGAATTGGTCTACGCGCAGCACCTTCTGCTCGGGCTCGTCGCCGAGGAGGATCGTTCCTCCGATGGCTTTCTCGCGTCCGGCGTCACCGTCGAGAAGGCGCGTGAGGTTGTGCGCGGCATTTGGCACCGGAATGGTTCGGGTCATGGCGCCGCACGTGTCGCACGTGGCGGTGTTGATGACAGAGCGAGTGGCGCGCAGGTTCCGTTTTCGGTTAACGCGAAGCGAGTGTTTGAGGCGGCGGTTGAGTATTCCAAGTCTTTGGGACACAAGTTTGTTGCCCCTGAACATATTACTGTTGGTTTGGTCAAAGTTGATGATGGAAGTGCTAGTAGGGTCCTTTACAGGTATAATTGCTTACATTCGATTGTTGTAGTAAGATTTTTATATTGTGGTTGTGATTGCAGTTTCGTTGTGATACTTATCGTGGGAAATTCGGGATAAATATGATTGATGCAGCTACAGTTGTGGTCCTGATGTGGTCACAAACACTAGGAAAACCTTAATGTTGCAGATGGAATTGCAGTCATGATCATGTGGTTTCAGTTGCAATTTCGTTGCAATTTTTTTTATTTGAAGTGTGTTTGGATATAAACTTAGATACTAAAAGGGTAGCTGAGAGTTTTTCTACAGGAAAAAAGCCATTTATTTTTAATAGACAAGCTCTCCTAAACTTATATTTAAACAGACTCATTATAAAAAATTGCGGACAAATACAACAGATGTAGCCACAATCGCGGTCATGATCACAGTTGCAATTTCATCTCAATTTTTTATATTAAAAAAATTAAGGACAAATGTCAAATATAACCGATGCGACCGCCATTGTGGTTGTGACATAGTAATATTGTGAAACCTTAATGTTGTAGATGAAATTGCAGCCTGAGATTTTAAATTGTGGTTAAAGTTGTAGTTTTGTCGCAAATTTTGGTATTGTAGATAAATGTAGAAAGCTATTGATGTGCAGGATCTGTTACTAAATTATTATGTATAACTATAACTTTTGCCATTGATATTGGTTGTGTACAAATGTGATTTCAGACTGGGGACAAATGCAAACCAGTTGGCGGCTGTGGCATTCGCCAGATTACAAAAGGAGATTGCTAAAGATGGTAGAGAACCGAATGTGATGTCCAAGGGTGTGCCTAACAAATCAATTTCTAGAAAAGGTTCTGATGCAGGAGCCTCTGCCACAACAGGAGGTAAGAAAATGGTTTGCAAGTTTGGTGTTTTGTACTTTTGTGTCTGAAGGCTGAGAACTGAAAAGAGTTACCTGTGATCATGCTCTGGTTGTCAGAGGAGAGTGCTCTATCACAATTCTGTGTGGATCTCACTGCCCGTGCGAGTGAAGGACGAATTGATCCAGTTATTGGCCGAGAAGTTGAGGTTCAGAGAATTATTCAAATACTTTGCCGAAAAACAAAAAGCAATCCCATTCTTCTTGGTGAAGCTGGTGTTGGAAAAACAGCTATTGCAGAGGGTCTAGCACTTCGTATCGCTAAGGCAGATGTTGCTCCCTTTTTATTGGTAGGTTTCTTAACAAGTTATTTATGTTTCTAAAGTTTTTCTTTTCTTGTCTTCAATTGTGCAATTGTGTGTGCTTTATTCATTGTAATTTTGCTTTGTGTTTCTGCAGACAAAGCGTGTGATGTCCTTGGATATAGCCCTGTTAATGGCTGGAGCAAAAGAAAGAGGAGAGCTAGAGGAACGTGTAACAAAATTGATAAAAGACATAATAAAGTCAGGTAAATATATTATAAAAAAAATTAATGTATATAAGTTAGGTGAAATACATCCTTGCCTTGCTAGAAGAGGATTGTTTCATCTCTCACCGATTATTCTTGAAATGTAGGTGATGTCATTCTCTTCATTGATGAAGTTCATATACTTGTTCAGTCGGGGACAGTTGGGAGAGGAAATAAGGGTTCTGGCCTTGACATAGCTAATTTACTTAAACCTGCACTTGGAAGGGGTCAATTTCAGGTGACTATTGGTCATGATTTGCATTTGCTAGTTTCTTCTATTCTAAATGACTCCCGAAGATAAACACGTGTTCAGTTTGAAGGCTGATGAAGTGTAAAAATTACTAATAACACAAGATTAGGGTAAGGGGTCAAAATATATGGTTATTACTTACTAAACAGCTACAGGTGTTGTTACCTTACCACTCTTTCAAAGTAATTTTACTGAGCAAAGTTGGCAAGATAAATTTCAGTGACACTCCAGCATTCACTTTCTAACACATTACTATTGACTGAAATTTATTAGAAATCACAAATTTGGTGGATCTCTTATATCATTTAATAAGTCTCTTTTGGTTTAGTTGCGGGATCCATCAATTTTTTTTAATAAATTTCAGCCAATAATTGAGAGAGCATTAGAAAACAATTATTAAAAAGAGCGTCACCAGTATTAGAAAGAGTGTCACTAGCATTCTTCAAGTTGAATATTAACATCTGGAAACTGCAATACAAGGTTGAAATTGGTAAGAAAGAAGTCTTCATGAAAATTGGGGAGGTTATCACACTTGTAGCTAGACTCAGCTTGGATTATATCACACGTTCACTCAAGTGGAGGGCATCAAGATCATTTGCAGCTGGAAGAGATACGGGTGTCAACTGTTAAATATCTTGCTTTTCAGTAAGTTATGGAATCAGAAGGGTACATGAACTAGACAAATTCTTTCATTAACAGGGCAACCTGTTTCACATGTTTAGTGCTTGAGTCTCTCTCCCAGACTCTACAATTTCCATCAAGCCGGGCCTGGGTCTTGATATTTTATCTTAGGTACACCGAGAATTAGTGAATATAAATGTTTTGGAGGAGTGATTTGTACAAAGTTTAACAGACTAAAAGTTAACCGGAATGTCAGAGTGGACTGGGCTTGCTGATCAGTTTTGACATTTCACTCATTCGTAAAGTCATCATCAGATAGCTAAGCTTTCTGATATAACGTTCTACTTTATGAAACCTTTCTGATCAGTGTGTGGACTTGAGTAAACCATCAGAAAAGTTATAATCATCAATTCAATAAAATTTCCTGTCGATCACAATTCAACCCCCTTACCCCGGAACTTGTCAGTGTCACTTAGTCAAAACTATGGTTGCTAAAGTTATCATTACTGATTTTAATTATATTCAATAATGCTAAGGCTATGTTGAGTGCTATGGGCAGGGCTACTGCTTTGCTTGGTTGATAAGTGATTCAATAACTTATTTTCTGTTAGTACTTTTCTTTTATTGGGGTTTTTATTTTTCTTTTTCTTGGGGAGGGGTTCATGGTGGAAGAGAGAAGTTCTGAATTTAAATTCTTTGGGAGAAGCAACTCACAACTGTGAAGTGTGAGAGAAACTAATTGTGCTCTGATGAATTTTTCTTTGTAGTTGGTTATCCATTTTATGGTGTATTTGGCATGTGCTTAAAAGTTATCATTTTTGTATAAGATGGGATCATCATTCTTTTCTCCTTTGCAAAAACTTAAATTGCAATATGTACGCACCATATCTCGTCTGCTATGCGTAGTGCAATAACTTAATCTTTTTTGCAGTGCATTGCATCAACCACCATAGATGAATATAGACTCTATTTTGAAAAGGATACGGCATTAGCTCGACGGTTTCAACCTGTTTGGGTCGATGAGCCAAGTGAGGTTGTATTCCATATTCATGTCTATATCACTATATGTTAGCATTTTAATCATAATTTGCTTTCTTATTGGAATATGTTTTAATATATAGGATGATGCAATTAAGATACTCACGGGTCTACGTGAGAAATATGAGGCACATCACAAATGCAGATACACAGCAGAGGCTATAAAGGCTGCAGTTGATTTGTCAGCGAGATACATAGTTGATAGGTATCTACCTGATAAAGCTATTGACCTTATAGATGAAGCAGGAAGTAGAGCTTGTATTGAAGCCTTTAAGAAGAAAAAGGAACAAGAAATTGGCATCCTTTCAAAGTGCCCAGCTGATTACTGGCAAGAAATTAAAGATGTCAAGACCATGCATGAAATGGTAATGGCATGGCTTACAGTATTTGCCTGTTGTCTGCATCAGTTGCTTACAGTTTTAATTTAAGATGACATTTCTTTCCCACTGGTTCAGGAGAGCAAGCTTAAATACTATGGCGCATCAAGCATTGAGGACACCAATGAACTCATACTGGACTCATATTTATCTTTTGGAGCCAACGATACTGAGTATGTTACTTCACCCTGTAATAAGAGGCCATTCATTTGTACGTATCTGGATTTGATTTCTGAGTGGCTAACACATTATTTTTTTCCTTTTAGACCTATAGAAGTTGGTCCAGAAGATATAGCAGCAGTTGCTTCCCTCTGGTCAGGAATTCCTGTTCAGAAGCTCACTGCTGATCAAAGAACCCTTCTATTAGATCTTGATAATCAACTTCAGAAGCGAGTGATTGGACAAGAGGAGGCTGTTGCTGCCATTTCTAGAGCTGTGAAGAGATCCCGGGTTGGCCTTAAGGATCCCGATAGACCAATAGCTGCAATGCTATTCTGTGGCCCAACCGGGGTTGGAAAAACAGAACTTGCAAAATCTTTGGCAGCATGTTACTTTGGATCGGTAAGACTTTATACAGTACATGTTAAGCAATAATAATTAGAAAATATTTTTTCTGTTATTTTTCTTTCTTTCAATAGTCTGCAGTGATTATTTTGTGGGCGGCACATGTCACACTTATTGTTCATCTTTTAATATTTAGCCTTTCATGTTCATGTTAATTTTTTCAGGAGGCAGCCATGGTACGATTAGACATGAGTGAATATATGGAACGGCATACTGTGAGCAAATTGATAGGATCGCCCCCAGGTTATGTTGGTTATGGAGAGGGTGGCGTTTTAACAGAAGCTATTAGAAGAAAACCATTCACACTGTTACTGCTTGACGAAATAGAGAAAGCTCATCCAGATATATTCAACATTCTTCTTCAAATTTTAGAAGATGGTCAACTTACTGATTCTCAGGTTTGTGAAGACGGATATGAACCTTAATCTATTAACAAAATTTCAGATGCAAAACTTTTTCTTTGAAGTTCTATTTCTTCCTTGCCAAGCGAAAGTGAACATTTGCATCAATGTAATGTGGACTCTATGCTACTGGTGTCCTAAATTTTCTGTTTAATGATTGTAAATCTGGCTCTAACAGGGTCGGAGAGTTTCATTTAAAAATGCATTGGTGGTGATGACTTCAAATGTGGGGTCTAGTGCCATTGCTAAGGGTCGACACAACTCCATAGGTTTCTTGATTCCAGATGATAAATCAACATCATACAATGGCTTGAAATCGATGGTAGTTGAAGAACTGAGGACATATTTTCGTCCAGAATTGCTCAACAGGATAGATGAAGTAGTAGTGTTTCAAACCCTTGAGAAGTCACAGGTTCGTGAAGTTTTGGTTATGATTTACATAGTTCATTCACGATAGTCACTTGGTAGGATCTTGGTATCACATGTAGTCGTGTTTGTTGGCAATAATTTTGATTTTCTTTACAGAAATCAACTGTTCAAGCACGCCAAGCATCTTAATCACAATTAATCTCTCTACACTTCAAAAAATATGACTAATACTTGGAAAATCTAGGCTATGACTAGAGTCCACAGTTATAACTACCAAAAAAACTAACTGATGTTGATAAGTTTTAAGGACAAATTTAGTATATTACTCAATTTTAAAGCAATTTATGTTATCCATTTCATTGATGGTATTGTTGTTATTTTTATTACAGTTGCTAGAAATATTAGATGTGCTTCTGCAAGACATGAAGAAAAGGGTCTTATCCCTGGGAATCCATGTAAAGGTGTCTGAAGCAGTCAAGAACCTTGTCTGCCAACAAGGCTATAACCCAACATATGGTGCTCGGCCTCTGAGAAGGGCCATTACATCACTAATCGAAGACCCATTAAGTGAAGCATTCCTTTGTGGAGAGTGTAAGCAAGGCGACACTGTCCTCATTGATTTGGACTCTAATGGTAACCCTTTTGTTACAAATCAGCTTGATCAGATAGTCAACTTATCTGACTGACACGTGTCATCCCTGTAATTAATTATTGTACAGTAGTAGTATAGTGCGATAGGTATATACACACTCAAAAATGTTTTGTCTCTTCATTAGCCTAGGTATTTGATTCTTATGTAATGAGCATACCACGTCAACCAACGAGCATGACAGCTCATGAGATGTCGAATTTGTTAAATGTGGCAACTTGTAAAACTTTTGTCGACAAACATTGTATTCAAATTAAATTCATTTATAGAAATAACTATATGATACTTTTAGTTGACAAACTCTTGATCAATTTTCTTTCTTTTTCTAACGTGCGTAACTAGTATCAAATATATTCTACTAATAAATACATCTAATTACTTTAAAAGAAAAATATTAAATATTTTTTGAGTTTTTAATAGGCAATGCATTTTTTTCTTAATTAGTGTTTTTTGTTTTCAGATATTGGTAAGAGTATTTACCAATTTCATTGAAAATTAAGGTTATCCTTCTTAGGGTGTTTTTTTTATAAAATCAAAATTGGAATTTGAGATTTTGAGGATTAATTACGGTATTAGTCACACCAATAAACAATGATAATTCTTAATTGGTGTTTAAAAGACATTAGAATTGTAATGTTCTAATGCTAATTAGTGTTTAAAAGACATTATAATAAAAAATTATATTGTGATGCAATATTATTTTAATTATTCTTGTTTCTTTTAACCATGTTATTGGTGGAATGAAATAATTTTATTGATATGTTACATAACTTTGTTGACCACCTTTAATATTCAAAGCTAATATTTTAATCAACAACTTATAACTTAATGATTATTTCTTCGTAATTGCGTATTAATCTAAAATTCTTCATCTCTTATTTAATTTAAATTCGTTCGCATCTTGTTTAATTTAGTTTTAATATATATAACAATATAAAAAAAATATTCTTATTATGGTTTTCATTTTTCTTTAGACCAACATATTTAAATTCCTATTATTTATTTATTTATTTTGAAAAATTTTACCCTCAACTAATGAGAAATGGCTCACTACTCTACTCCATCCTTAATTTGTCATGGTTATAAAAATGACTTTTTTTTCTTTCTTTTTTTCACTCTAGTAGGCTAAATAACATGTTTAATGCTTTATCTTATTTTATATATTTATTCTAATTTTTTATCTATTAAAATGTTTATTTTTATCCTTTATTTTTTATATTAAATTTAATTCTTTTAAAATAATAATAATTTTCAATTTTATAAAATAATTTTAAATCAATTCAATTGATGTTTGAAATGAAAAAGACTAAATAATAAAACGTGTGAAAAATATAGTTCAAAAGAAATTTTAAATAGTATGAAATAGATTTTTAAAAATTTTTGGTTGCTTTTTCAACTTATTTTATGTGATTTTCACTATGTTTATAACATATTTTTATTTGAATTTCAATTGTATTTGATAGTTTTTATATAAGTGAATCAAATGACATAAGTTTTTTAAAAAATATTCAAAATCATGCATCAAAATAAAAATAATAATAAAGGATCAAATTGACCCAAATTTATGAAATAAACAAATAAAATGAAAATTTTTAAAATAAATGATCAAAATAAAAAAAATATATAATTTAATCACCCTAATACTATTATATGCAGTTGTTTACTCTCAAAATTTAATATTTTTTCTATAACAATTTCTCTCTCTCAAAACTCCTAAAAAGTAAATTAGGAGGCACAAATTGTCACTTTCTCCTACTAATATTATACGATTTTTAATTATTATTTTTATCATGATTCAAAATATATTTAAAAAATATTTTTAAATTTTTAATTTTTTTGATTTTATTTTGTACCATCCCGAATAACTTTCGAGATGGCTTCACTGAGAGGCCCGAGACATTATCTCTATTACTCAAGTCTTTTCACCTTCTAGGATTAGAGTTGGAGGGCTAGTGTATCGTCTCAAATAAATCCCGAGATGACTTCATTTAGAGATGTCAGGGCATTATCACTATTACTCAAGCCCTTTTGCCTTATAGGCTTAGGGCTAAAGGGCAAGTGTGCCATCTCGAATAAATTTTGAGATGGATTCACCAAAAGGCTCTAGCTGGAACTCTTTGTGCATCTCGGATGATGGTTAGGATGAGCTCATCGAGAGGCCTTAGATGAGACCCTCAATCGAACATGTTGAGACCTCGATTAAGAGGAAATATGAAGGGATCAGGAGTGGGCCAACAGCCCAGTATAGATGCTCTCACATGAAGGGAGGATCGGAGTGATCTCGTGATTAAGGGGAACGTACAAAGAATAAAATCTAATCACTAATGACCAAATATTTCAATATAAAAACCATCGTGAAAAATCTTGGTACTTACAAGATCCATGAGGCCCGCAAATAAATAACTATAAAATCCCGAATTTTAGACTAACGAGAGATAAGATATACACTCAAATATTCAGGTCTTGAAGGTTGGTCTAGAAAAAACCATGGTTGAACCTAAGACTGAAGCATATTTATTACGTATTATATAAACAATTATTATGTCATATACATTCGATGTTTTTTTATAAATAAATTTATTAAATATCATTAATATCATTTAATATATATTTATTTTAATTATATAATATGAATATTTTATTTTTATAATAAATAATTATAATTATAAAATATAAATTATTTATGTTAAACTTGTCTCTCTCTTTTTTTTTGTAACTATTAAATTTGTCCTTTAAAATACTAGTAATAAAATAAAAAATTCAAGTATTCATGGGCCATGACCAGTGTAACCCGTACAGGCCCGTTTCTAACCACACACACTTTCCACAATAGCACTTGCCATCCACGTGATCGTGTTTCATGCGCTGCACCGGAAACTATAATGCCTTTCTCTCTTCAGCACCAACTCTAGGGTTTTCTTTTTCACTTTCATCATCTTCCTTCCGCACACGCATGGCGACCACTGACACCTCCGCTCCGTCGTCACCACCGCCGGGAAACGAAACCAACGAAGGCGCTGCCAAATTGACGAAATCGGTCAACGAGCTCAACGACCTCTCCATCGCCATACAAACCTTCAAAAACCGGTACGACGAACTGCAGAAGCACCTCGAATTCATCGAACAAGCCATCGACGCAAGGACGAAGGAGCTCCAAGCGCTACGCTCCAATGTCGAGAACGGCGTCGTAGAGCATGACGTTAAATCAGATTCAAATCCGAATCAACAAGTTAAAGCGGAAGAAGAAGAAAAGGAAAAGGAAAAGGAAGAGGAAAAGGAGAAGGAGAAGGAAGAGGAGAAGGAAGAAGAGGAGCTTGTTTCGCTCTGCAAAACGATGAACAGCCGCGGCCTGCGGAAACACGTGTTGTCGCATCTGACCGAAACGACGGCGCTTCGGGAGCAGGTTTCCGCGGCGCTGAAGAGCGCGCCGAAGCCGTCGAGGCTGGTGTTTGAGTGCATTGGGAGGTTTTTCCTTCAGGGGAGCAAGGCCTACGCGAAGGACTCGCCGATGATTCCTGCGAGGCAAGCTTCGGTTCAGGTTTTGGAGTACTACTTGCTCTCTGGCTGCGTCGGCGGCGAGGAGGATGTGGAGGCTTCGCTGAAGAGAGAAGCGGAGTCGGCGGCGGTTGCGTGGAGGAAGAGGCTCATTGTTGAGGGTGGTGTGGCGAGAGCCACTAAGGTTGATGCCAGGGGTTTGGTTCTCTTCGTTGCTGGCTTTGGGATTCCTGATGTTTTCAGGGACGATGATGTATTCAACTTGGTTCGGTTGAGCAATGTTAAGGAAATCTCCGATGCACTTTGCAAGTCTAAGCCTTTTCTTAAGAGGGTTTCGGGTATGTATATTTATGCTTTTGTGAATTCTACAATCATGGTGATGGTTATGCATGGTGTTTACACTTTATACTTCTGCTGTTGAAATTTGGAAGTTGTGATAATGATAAGAAATTTAATGGTTTTGGTTTCATCATAGTAGTCAATTGCACGATATAGTGGAATGTGTTGCATGGAGACGGATTAGGTACAGGTACGGAATCTGGGAGTTAAAAATTTAGAATACAGCAAAGCTCCTGCTTGGATAAACTTTTCTAGAAGTACCTTTAAAAAGAAAAGGAAAGAAAAATGAAACAAACTTTTCTATAAGCTAAAATTAACTTGTGTATAAGCAAATCTGTATAAGCTCTCTTGTATAAACTTTTTCAGAAGTACCTTTAAAAAGAAAAGGAAAGAAAAATTAAACAAAATTTTCTATAAGCTGTATAATACAAAATTTTTAATGAATGCTCAGCCGTATCCTTTGATACAATTTTTTTTTAATGAATGCTCAGCCGTTCCCTTTGAGTTTAATACAAAATTTTGGCTATAAATTGCACCCTAGGAAGCACCACCATGGCTAGGAACCTAGGTGTCAAGATGTCCGACACTCCTCGGATACTAACACACTGCTGACATGCTGCGGACACATGTCAGACATATTTTTGCAGTGATCCTTATTTTTTTTTCCAGCTTCAACAAGGTCCGAGTCTCGGACACACTTTAAATAGCTGAATACTGTTATAGACACGGTTAGCTTATTTTACCAATTTTTTTAAAATTAAAAATAGAATCATAATACATAAATTTTCTATTTTCCTTTTTTTAAGTTTTAACCTATTATCTTAATAACGTGGTATATCCCTTTCTGTAAGTTGCTACAATTGTCTCCATCAACACTAGTTTGTTTTCCTATACATATGTCATATTTCCGTGTCCCATGTTTTAGACTTTAGTCGTGTCAAGGTGTCTGTGTCGTGTCCCGTGTTGGAGTCAGAGACCCTGCAAGTTTGCAACTATCTCTTTTTATCTGATGATCAATTGGTGTGGATGCTTGTTTACAGCATGTTTATGTAGTTTAGGGGGTTTGGTACACCAATACTGTTTGGAAGTGACATTTGATTTTCTATTCCCAGAAACTTTGTAGCCTATTTTAGTTATTTATTATCATTTCACATTCATTTTGCAAGTTGTATCCTATTAACCAATATATTTTTTCATCGTTTTAGGTGCAAACTACAATATTTTTTCTTTACCAAGTTTTCTCTCTTTATTAATCTGCTGAGATGACTTTGACTGAAATTATACTTAGGATCTTTTCCTTTTCCGACATAATTTCTACTTTTTTTAAGATACTGGATTAGCTTGTGACAATTAGATTTTTTCTGCCTAACTCTCTTAGTTAACTTGTCCTAAAAGTGCAATCCACCCCATATGTGTTATAAGGAAAGTTGATCAACCTAACAATTGTGCTGTCTGGATTAACTTCGCATTTTCACAAAAAAAAAAAACAAATATCTTCTCCTGAATCACATTAACTACATACATATGTATGTTTCTCACAGTTCCTTAGAATAGTTTAAGAAAATTGTTAATTAAACTACTAATAAGGATCTTATACTTTGGTATGCAATTTACAATTATTTAGGGTACCTGTTTACCTTGAAACATTGGTGTGTGTTTCTTTAAGATGTGTCTGTTGAATGGTTGTAAATAATTTGCAACTCATTGAAACCATTCTCCTTTGGTATTGTAAAATTGAATTGAAATTTAGTGTCTACATTTTACCATTTATCAAATTATTGAAAATCAAAGCCTTTTCTTATACTCTAATTTCATGACCCGCCTAATTCTCCTCCTTCTCAATCAAGAATGTCATCCTTAACAAGGATGATGAATATGTTGTTGCTTTTTATATGTTGCTTTCTCATACTCCAAAAAAGTATTCACTATCTCATTAAGTATTTATATTTGTGACAGATATTGCAGATGGGATGATGAAAAAAGGCATGGTTGTTAATGCTGTTGATTTAGGTTATACCTTTGGGTTTGAAGAGAAGTTTTCTCCTCAGACAGCTCTAAATTCATTTCTACGGAAGTCTGAAGAAACCTGGAAGAAAGCCAAACAAGATGCACGGAATTTTCCTAGCATGCTGGTATGTTTTAGCTGGATAGCCAATATATATTGAGTAATTTATTATGAATATTAACTTTGCCTATATATGTTATCTTTCGCAGAAGGAAGTACATGAAAAATATTTAACTGTTTTGAAATCTGTTGTCAACTGTTTGGAAAGTCACAAGATTGACTTTGTTAAACTTATTCCTGGATGGCAACTTAAGGATAAGATTAGCGACTTGGAGAAAGATATTAGTGATGCCAATAAAAAAATTGAAGAGAAGTCAGCGCACAAGAGAAAAATGGATAAAAGCAATTTATCTAACAAAATGAAGATTCCAGAGACTAAACGATCAAGGTTCGTCGGGAATGGGAAGGATGCATCTATGTTATCACCTTCACTCACTGCCCTGCAAGAGCAAAGACTTCTCAGTCATATGGATGGTAATAGCTCATATGATGGTTCATTGTCGGCACATTTGCTGGACGGTAGATCCTATGGCTATCCAAATAATTATCTCACTGCTTCTGCACAAGTTGGATCTGTTTCAGATTCTTTGGCTGAAAAATATCTTGGAAGTGCATTGACAAATGGGACTAATATGCTTGGAGGAGCTATAGGTGGTTCATATTCTGGCTATCAGGGGGGTGTGATAAGAGACAATGTTGGGACAGTGTTAAATAGTAACAGTCATCTGTATAGATGGCATGGAATTGGGGAAGGGGCATTATCTCATGATAGGCCTGTTGGGCAGAGTTATGTGGGACAATCTCCATCAGCACTAGTAAATAATTTATATGGGAAAACACCCACAGATAATTTTTCAGGTGTTCCAGAGCATCTCTCAATCGGCGCTTCTAGTCGCACTGGAGGTCCTGATTTGTATAGCTTTGCTGATTCTGTTTTTGATTCATAGTCTTTCCAGGTCAGCAGTTCTCCAAATTACTGTTTTGATCAGCTGGAAGCATGGGGCTCCCTACAGATTTTTTATCTGCCCATGAAAAACAAGCTGCAGAATTGTATGATGTTACATTTTATTTTCTCAACTTGGATTTAATGTTTATAGGAATACCTCCTGAAAAATCACTCAGCTACTGATCCCGTCTGGTTAATTTTATCAAAAATGATTAAGTGTTAAACAAGGGTAATTTGAGATTTTTTTAATTTTTGCATTAAAAAATACAACAGATTTGAAGTGTTATATTGATAATATTGTAGAAGTGGTTTTATTTTATCATTTGTAGGAAATAATTTTGTAAGTCTACCTTTAAAATGTTATGTTTGAACGGAAAATAATTTTTTCATCTTGATTTTACTGTAATTTAAACCAAGCTGTAGCCTATTGTTGTGGGCAGGAAACCAGATGTGTTTGTAAGTCTATATTTTGGTAAGTTAGTGTTTTAGTCCATTATTCATCTCAAACAAATGTATTATTTTAGAAAATACTTTTTTGGAACAAACATTTTGAAAAGTAATTTAAAACTACTCTCTGGAGAACAAACATGCCATTTTGGGATAGTGGAGAGGAGACAGGGGAAGAGGAGGATGAAGATTCACAAGTTATGAGTGAGTGTATTTGAGAATGTTTGAAAAAAAAAAAGGTTAAAACCCTTATTTGGTCCCTTATAATATTTTTTTTGTTTTAATTTAGTCTTACTTTAATTTTTGGTTTCAATTTGATCCCTAATAATTTAAATTATTACAAGTTGGGACTTCCGTCTAAATGATTTAAACGGAATTAACTGGGGGGCCACGTGGATGCCACGTGGGTGGATCCCAAAATGCTTGAATATACCTGGAACCAAAATGGGCCGTTCTGGTTATAGAATTTCGTGCCCAAAAAACACTCAAGGTACAAAGTATTTCAAACACTAGATTTGGTAATACATTGTCAATGGGGATTGATAACTTCAATTGTTAAACATTTGGGTATACAATGTATTATTAAGGATGATGCAGTGTATTATTAAGGACAATGATAGCAGGTTTTATTTCATTGTTAGTCAAACTGGAGTGAATCACTTATTACTAAATTGACACTATACAGTTAAGGATGAAACGAAACGGTATTTCTCCTTGAAGTCATTGACGATGTATCCCAACAATAACAACCTGTTCTTGAGGAGGTACAACCTGAATTTTTGTGGTTTAGGGTTTCTCTTCAGCGTACCCAGATGATTTCCTTTCTCAGTAATTTCTTTGAACTTTTTTAGAATATGTTATGTTCTGAATTTTTGTTTTCAGTTTCTGAACCATGTTTTTGTCTTTGAATTTATGATGTATTATGAATTTTTATTATCAATTTTTGAATCACATTGGGGCATTTTAGTCAAGATTTTGAATCGGATAAGTTCAAATTAAAGAAGAATTTTAGGTCTTATCTTATTTGATTCTTTTTTTTTAGTTTTATTCATAAATGAATATTAATTTATTGTATTTTTTATTTATTATATTTTATTAATATAGATATAATAAAAAAAATACAATAAAAAGCATGAAGTTGGCGATTTGGAACGGGCTGTTCTGAATTCAGAATGGCCCGTTCTAACAGCAAAACGACCCGTTCTGGTTTCAGAACGGCCTGTTCTGCTATACTAATATTGTGTTAAATTTGCATTTGGAACGACCCGTTTCAGTTGCAAAATTAACACATAACATGTGCATGTAGAACGGGCTGTTCTGGTTTCAGAACGGGCCGTTCTGGTTCCAGGTGTATTCATGGAATTTGGCATCCACGTATGCATCTATGTGGCATCCACCTGACCAACAGTTAACTCCGTTTAAATCATTTGGACGGAAGTCCTAAATTGTAATAATTTAAATTATTGGAAACCAAATTGAGACTAAAAATTAAAGTGGGACTAAATTGAAACAAAAAAATATTATCAGGGACCAAATAAGGGTTTTAACCAAAAAAAGAAGTTGCATTCATAATTTTTTTTTTGTTAAAAGTGATTTTAAACTGATATAAATATACACAGTATTTGTAAGAGAAGGAATGACCACTATTTTCACTTGTTCCTATCATGTTATGAGTGGCACCATTGCGCAAAATCTCCTCACTGAACCTTTAATATCAAGCGGAGTAAACCAAAATCATGTGGTTAATGTGAACATTAAGTATAAGGGTATAAGTAGCGTGACAAATTATATGCAGGGCATGACACATGAAAATCTTCTTGTAAGGAGTATGTCTCGTGATATATTTTCTCCTGTTATGCATTCTAAAAGTAGGTAGATACGGTCAAGGTTAGTCGAATCATTATATTTTGAGTTTTAACATCCAAAATTTTACAAATATTTAAGTGACACTTATTTATTTTTATCTTCTTTTTGTCATGGTACATTACTCTTCTTTTTTATTATCTCTCAAGGTCTTTATATTCCCTATTTCCATGTCTAAGAATATTTTCCAAGTTAGTGAAGCTGTACTACTTTATGGTGGGTGGGAGCAGAACCGGAGTTGCATGTTATCGCCCTCTACATTCTTGGGTCAACAACCGAATTATTTTTGTATGACTTTTACTGTAACTAAACTCGACACAACTTGTAACGAGTTCTGGCTATTGTTCCTTATTAAATTCACTTTGGCTTATAAAAACAAAGGTCTAATTGCCCACACTTCCCTCTAAACATGGCTGGAAATATTGCATGCATAAACCAAGATCAAACACTTGATGAAACTATAGCCTGTTTCAATACGTTCGTGCTTAGCCACTTCTGAATGGGTTAGGAGTTTAAGAAATAAGAAAATGAAGAAAACAGAAACCTGGTGATGGCTCGATATTACACCAACATGAAGAGAGTGTACAAGCTCCACGCCACGCTCATCACAAGCGGGCAACACAACAACCCTCTCTCCCTCCGCACCTTCATTCTCCGCTGCGTCGACTCATCATCACCATCACCCTCCGACGCCGCACGGTACGCCGCCGCCGTGCTCCTCCGCTTCCCCATCCCCGGGGACCCTTTCCCCTACAACGCCGTCATCCGCCACGTGGCACTCCACGCCCCCTCCCTCGCCCTCGTTCTCTTCTCCCACATGCACCGCACCGGCGTCCCCTTCGACCACTTCACCTTCCCTCTCATCCTCAAAACCCAAACCCTAAACCCCCATCAAATCCACTCCCTCATTCTCAAACTCGGTTTCCACTCCAACATTTACGTCCAAAACGCCCTCATCAACTCCTACGGCTCTTCCAGGTCCCTCCGCGTGTCCCTCCAACTGTTCGACGAAATGCCCCACCGAGACTTAGTCTCATGGTCCTCTCTCATTTCATCTTTCGCCAAAAACGGCTTCCCCACTGAGGCCCTTACCCTTTTCCAACAAATGCAGCTCCGCGAGAGTGCAATCCTCCCCGATGGGGTCATCATGTTGAGTGTCATTTCAGCTGTTTCATGCTTAGGTTCTTTAGAATTAGCCATTTGGGTTCACGCTTTTATTACCAAGATTAATCTTAACCTTACTGTTCCATTAGGTTCAGCGCTCATTGACATGTACTCCAGATGCGGTGACATTGATCGTTCTGTTAAGGTGTTCCACGAAATGCCTCACCGGAACGTTGTCACGTGGACCGCCCTTATCAATGGGCTCGCTGTCCATGGACGTGGTGAGGAGGCTTTGGAGGCTTTCTATAAGATGATGGAGTCTGGTTTGAAGCCTGATCGCGTCGCCTTTAAGGGCGCGTTGGTGGCTTGTAGCCATGGCGGGCTCGTGGAGGAGGGGCGGCAGGTTTTCGATAGCATGTCGAGTGTGTACCGTGTTGAGCCGGAGCTTGAGCATTATGGTTGTGTGGTTGATCTTCTTGGCCGCGCTGGCATGGTGCTTGAGGCTTTCGAGTTTGTGGAGGGGATGCGTGTTAGGCCGAATTCGGTTATTTGGAGGACCTTGCTTGGGGCCTGTGTGAATCACAATCATCTTGAGTTGGCTGAGAGGGCCAAGGAGATGATCAACGAGTTGGATCCTCGTCATGATGGTGATTATGTGCTTTTGTCGAACGCTTATGGTGGAGTTGGTAAATGGGTTGAGAAGGAGGGTGTGAGGAATTCAATGAGGGAGAATAGAATTGTCAAGGAGCCTGGAATTAGTTTGGTGCATGTTGATCAAGTGGTTCATGAGTTTGTGTCGGGAGATAATTCTCATCCTCAGTGGGAGGAGATTACAAGGTTTTTAGGCTCGGTTATTGACACTGTAAAACTTGGAGGTTACACCCCTAATACGTCCAATGTGCTGCATGACATTCAGGAGGAGGAGAAACAGCATTGTCTGGGCTATCACAGTGAGAAATTGGCAGTAGCTTTTATACTTCTTTATCATAGGAATAGAAAGACCATTAGGGTAATTAAGAATCTTAGGATTTGTTATGACTGTCATAGTTTCATGAAGCACGTTTCTGGTTTCTTTAACAGAGACATAGTTATTAGGGATAGAAGTCGGTTCCATCATTTTAGCAAGGGATCGTGTTCTTGCCGAGATTTTTGGTAAATCATGCTACTTCGAATGTCAAATATTGTGTGCTAACATTCATTTATCTTAAATCAATAAGAATTATTTCTAGCCTTACATTCAGTTAGTTTCTACCGGTTATATAATTCATGCAATGTCAAATTTTAGTTTGAAACCACAAGTATCCTCTAGCAATCCATAACAACGTCAATTTGTCAATGCAATTTGTTTAGGTTATTCCATAAATTGCAAGGCCAATAATGGGACACCTTCACATCTTAATCACTCAAAACTAGTGTTTAGTATTTCGAACAGAATCTAACCTTAGTTCAAGGTTTTGTTAGCAAATGCTAACCTACTTTTAAGAAAACAAGTAAAAGGAGTGTGTTTATTAGAAAAGAAAGTTTACATTAAATTAAAGAGAAATTCTATGATACTCTTATTGTAACGACCCGCCATGATCTCTATACTTAGTAGAAACGCACAACTACTAGCAAACTAAGAGAAATATTAAGCTGGATAACTCATACATACAGGTATAGGTAAGAATAAAAATAAATAAGTTTCTATATGTAAAATAGAACACCATATATGTACAATCATCTCAAAAATAATATTTCCTAGTGCCGATCAAGCACAAACAAAACCGTTATCCAAAATGGTAACTCTAACACGAGGATCAAACTCCCCGTCTCGCAGCGGTCACCTCAACTCCAAGTTATCTCTGACCTGCTCCCATACCAAGTATGATCATCGCAGTCCCACCACATAGAAACAGAAGGATAAGCTAGAGTTTAAAAATCAATCATACAAGTACAGAATAAAATCTATACTACACATGCATCCAAATCAAGTCCCAAAGGAACTTCCATCTCAATCAATCATCCATTCATCAAACATGAAGTCAAACATCATACACTTCATCATCATAACAACCATCCAATACATGCAACTCATGACGGATATCAATGCATATCAATCATCTAATGCATCGTCACGCATACACCTAGGAGATCTCCCTAACAGTAGAGCAGTGTAAGTGACATCCCAATCCTACCGAAACCACCCCAACCGTTTTCACGCCCAATGCACCCGCTCAGTCACAGCTAAACAGGATAAAAATCCTCACTCGAGTTTACTCGGATGATATCACTTACACAATTGGAAGTCCGGATCCACCGTCAGGTATAGCACAACTGGGTATAGGCTTACCACGACCTTGGCATGCATTACCAATTCAATTGTGGAATTTGCCCACCGACTATCCGCAAGGAACCATGCACCTTCCCAAGTACTTGGTTAAGGGAATAACCCTCGACCTCATATTCCGCTCCAACACTAGCTAAAGACTTAGAGAAGACTCACCCAACCTAGTGGCCTACCTGAGCACCACTCTCATATATCAGTGGTCTATCTAAGCACTACTCTCAAGAGACTTTATGTGAGTTCTTCCAGTTCGAAAATATTTTCCCTCTCCTCAAGTCCTAGGCTAGACTCATGCCATAAGGCATCACATGCAATTATACATCACACATCATACATTGTCTGCCCACCATCATGATCAACAATTATACACATGCCATAAGATATCACATGCAATAATGCATCATACATCATACATGGTCTACCCACCATCATTATCAATAACCATACTCATGCCATCACATGCAATAATACATCATACATCATACATCATACATGGTCTACCCACCATCATGATCAATAATCATACTCATATGAACATATACTCATGTCATATCATATTTAAACATTCATATATATCATCACCAAGCATACATATGAATCAAACCTCACCATACATCATATATCATACATACATGATCTAAAACTTCAACTTTAAACATGTATAAGCATCAATTTCAATCCAAAAACATCAAACTCACTCACGCCTGACACAACCAAATCATGCCCGGCCTAACATCCAACCCGAGAGCCCTAAGCTCTTCCATGCTCGGCGCACTCAACTTGCGCCCAGCCTAATCCTAGTCAGAGAGTTCAAAAACTCGTCCAAACCAGCAAATCTAGTCACATGCAAACACAAAAACACAATGCACAGGCTCCACACAACACAAAAACAAACTCAAAATCAACATGCACCCATCCGATGCATCAAAATCACTAAAAACCCCATTTTTTCCAAAATCTCAAAAAAATGAGCGAATTCTCCGATCCAGCCATGGATCCTCAACTTTCATGCATCAATTGAGTCAATAAACTCACATGCAAATAAACGACAAACATTCTAGCTTCCCTCACCTGAAAATTGGCTCAGAATAGCCAAGAACTAAGAATAAGTAAAATTCCCTTTAGAAGCTCAATCTGGAAACTTCAATCCACCCAAAGCAAGCTTCCTAGTCTGAATTTCAAGAAAAGACGAAAGACATTAGTGATCTAGAGGAGAAGAAGAATCATACAGAAATTTGGGAAAGAAAGGAGCTCACAGACCCAGAGTCATTCTCTCTAAAAATTCTCTCTAAAACCTCTCTCTAAGTTTCCTTCCTCTCTTCTCCTCAACCACATGCATGACACCTATTTATAGAAATCTGGAGTGGCCAGAACGGCCTGTTTTGAATCCGAAACGGCTCGTTCTGGACTCAAATGTCATGTGCAAAATTCACATGCAGAACGGCCCGTTTTCAAACCAGAACGGCCCGTTCTGGGGTTGCCTTTTACTCATAACGACCCTGTTTGAAACAACCCGTTCCCAACAAGGATTTATAGGCCTATTTAGTGGTTCGGAACGGCCCGTCCCAGTTTGGGAACGACCCGTTCTGGACTACTAAATCACCCTTGTTTTAGTAGTTTAGAACGACCCGTTCCAATTTGGAAACGGCCCGTTCTGAGCTACTAACTACGTTACACTTATAAAGTTGCGGGATTTTGGTACTATTAATTTTTAGACAAATGACATTTAAATTTCTATCATGTTAGAGTTTTCGTATAATTTATTATAGTATCTACAATTGAGTGTCTTAATAAACTTGGTATCAAGATAGGATACTAATAAAAGCAAATTAGCAATCTACCAAATGTTAGACACATATTCCAACAGTTGGATCGGTTATGCAGTCGACCCGTTTCAAACTGGATTGAACCGATCAATTTTCCGGTTCAACCGGTGAACCGGTGGGTCAAATCGGTTCAACCACTTTTTTTTTTTAAATTTTTTTAAGGGACCATAAATCACAAAAATGATAATGAAAATTGAATCTCTTAATGAAAAAGCAAGGAGTCTTATTAAATATAACAATGACTACTTGTTCTAATATATTTGTTTGCAATATATACAACTTAAATAACTTTTATAGTATATTATTAATTTTAAATTATATATTTAATAATGCAATATCTATGTAAATATTACATATATTATTTTGTGATAATAATTGCAAGCATATTATATATGTACATATTATTTATATTTTTAATTTGTATTAATATACCGTTTAACATGTAATTTTTTTATGTATTTTTTTACAAAATAAAAATAAAAATAATTTTAAATAAGATAGAAAAATTGAAATTTAAAATAAGATATGAATTTATTAAAATTTATAAGTATAAAATATATTTAATATGAATATAAAAATCGAGTCATGCGGTTCAACTAGTGACCCACCGGTTTAACCATTGACCCACTGACCCAGTACCTTAACCGGTTCGATGACCGATCAGGTTTTTAAAACTATGACCTAGATACACATACGTGAAGACCCACTGAAATGACATGCAATTCATATTTGACAATGGAGCACGAGCCAAAGATACCAATTCTTTATATCCTTACATAGTAAAACTCATATGACTAGACAATTACTTGTATTTTTATCGGTTTAAAAAGTGATTGTTCCAAGACACCTCTATTTTTAGAGGAACTATAATTATCCCTAAATAAAAAAAAATTCAAAAAAATACAACAATAAAATACAATGAAGATTACATGCAAGTTTTTTTCGACTAGTTTTTCATGCTTTTCTTTGAGAAAAAACTTTTGGTCCATCAAATAGTGTAATTTCAAGGTGGCTACAAAAGCGAAAACAATGGTTGCAAAGGGGGTGTGGCAATAGATTGTAGATCATAAATTTCAAAATTAATTAGATACCCATCACCCCATTAGGGTTAATAAGACTCGACCAAAAATTCAAAGGCAACCATGACATGGACAACTAAAACATGTGCCCAAATGCCATTGGTACTTTTTAAAGGGAACCAAAACCCTTTATTTGAAAAGGGTACAAAAGGAATTATCTTTCCTCTTTGCCATGTTGGCTATGTAAGAAGACAAACCAATTTAATAGCTCACAATTTAGCTAGGGCTTCTAAAAACTTACCTTATCTTTACTCTACCAATCATGTGTCATCATGTATTGTTGAACATCTCTTTATAGAAATAATATAAGTTTGTTTCTTTCAAAAGATTATTCTCTTACTAATGACCTTATGGCACTTTATAAGTTACATTCCACCACATGTGTAAGTATCATTTGCTCCATCTATTTTATTAACAAGAGGATGCCTACAAAGTTGGTCAAAACTAAGCAATGGGAGTAACTATAAGGTTGTGTTTGATTACCTATGTTGGGATACTAACCAAACCCCACATCATTAGAATAAAAAGAGAAACAAATGTTTATAAAAGTGTACACATACTCCATTGGAAAGAAGCTTTTTTGGGTGATAACCAAAAATAAAATTATAAATATTTTGGTCCAAAGTGGACAATATCTTATCATAATAGAGATGTGTGTGCCAATACCCCTAAATATACTTGATATACAATAAAAATATATTATACTCCCCTTAAAAAAATATATCCATAACCCAAAAATAATGACCAAATAACCTAAACAAATAGACCACATATTACTTGATATAAATAAAAGAACTCAACATTAACTTAGCTTATTTTTCCTGTCTAAAATCATTAATTCGTAAGAATTTATATACAAGTTAACTTGAGTTTGACAATTCTATTTTTAAGAAATTAAAAGTAGAAATTTATTATAAAAATATATTATTAATTTTATTATGCTTTTAATAATAAAAGAATATTTATTAATTTCTGAACAAGTGTCTTAAAATATTGTATATTCAACTTTTTTAAGATTTATCTTTTCGAGTTTCATGATCATATACAATAAATATAATTTTTTTTACATAATTAACTAATAAAAAAATCATTGATAAGAGATGTTACTATAAAAGTCAACTAACTTAAACTACACGGTAATTATGATTAGATGTTAGTATAAAACTAGTTTGCAATCAAATTACATAACTTTTTTCTCTTACTTTTTAAGAGTGATAAGGAAAAAATTGTTAGATACTTAAGGATCACCACTAGTCTATGGTTCTAGTCAATCACTATACAACATGCATTTAAGTTTTTTAATTAATGAGAAGAAACTAATAACATTTGATTATGTCATATAAATGCTAGTTAAGGACCATGAGATTTAGGACTAGAGATGAAAATAGGTTAGGTTAAACTTTTAATATATAGGTTGGACCTATTTTACAAAATTAAAACTTAAGTTTGACTTATTTTCTATCATAAGTTTTTTTTATAGCTTTGACATGACTTATTAATCTATTTTAAACTCTATTTATATTCATAATATTAATTAGACCAATAAATTTAATTTTTAATTTTACTCAATATTATTAAAATTCATATTTTAAAAGAAATATAGTAGAAAAAAGTGAATCATTTTCTGTTAAAGAGACAATTTATTTGTAGACATGTATGTTGATATACACTCATGCAAAAGTCGTAAGTTTATAAATATATAATAGAAAAAAAATAATTGTATAAAAAATATTTTAAACATAGATAATTTGGTCTTGTTTTATAAATTTATTTGTTTTTTTTATATTTTTAATAATATATGTATATTACTTTTTTATTATATTATATAAATAAAT